CCACAACATTGGTATTTTTTTTTTTTTTTAAAGCTTCCCAGGTAGTCCTAATGTGCCACCAGGATTAAGAATTGTTGCCCTGAAATATAAAAACTTTACCTTTTCTATATAGCTATGCTGTTGTCTCAAGACCATTGATTTAAAATAAAAGTCCATTATTACCCCACTGATTTGACTCGGTACTAATTTTCTATATGCATTTGGTTCTATTTATAGACTTTCTATTCTGTCCCATTGGTCTTTCTACTCATGTTCCAGTGACTCAATGTGTGCGTTTTTCATTTTGCAAGGTTAGCTCACCATAGTTTTATTAGGGAGGGGACCGGTACTGTAACAAAGATTGTACACAAGCAGTTTAAACAAGATAGAAGTTGATTTCTCTGTCATGTTAACAGTATAGAGGTAAGTGGTCCAGGGCTGGTGAGAAAGCACTACCATCACTGAGGCCAAGGTGGCTGCCCCAGCTTCTGCCATCTCCTAGTCAAGGGCCAAAAGACAGCATGAACTTTCCTTTTCAGGGTCACTATGTGGCAATGGCTTACATCAGTTGTCCAGAACTTGGTCACATGGCCACTCCAAGCCACAAGGAAGATGGAGAAATGTAGTCTCTTGCTGGATAGCCATGTGTTTGATTAAAATTTAGGAGTTCTATTAGTAAAGAAAGGGAAAATGGTCTCTGTCACAATGGTGACCTGATGGTAAGGACCCCAATGTAGAAGGTATTGGGGCATTGTAACGTAAATAATGGCATAAACTTTCCTCCAGGAATTCACAATAGAGGATTGGTACAGAGGAGTCTAGGATTCATATAGGCTCTACCTCTTACCTTCACATTTTTGGGATTCTCTTTGCTTAGAATTGTATTTACTATTTGTTAGAGCTCTTGCACACTCTTTCTCTTTTTCTGCATATGTTGCTGTATGTGTGCATTTTTTTGTTGTTCTTTTCTCACTGCTTTACTCACATGTCCCCGGAGTTATCAATCTATTTTTGAGGCAACTCTTGGGGCTTGTTAATGAATTAATTGGCAAAAAGAAGCCTCTCAGGGAACAAAAGCCCGAGCCTGTTTATACCTCTGAACTTCCTATCTCCTCTCCTTTGCTATCTCCTTTGAACGTGATAAAGAATAGACAATTTAAGTGGCTCAAGTAAGTGGCTCTTTTATATTTACAGAAGGCTACACTTGTATATAAAAGGGGATCTGGGTAATAGATAACTAAAGGATAGGAAAAAGCCACAAAGGAAAGATTCTATAACCTTAGAGAGACCATATGATTTACCACCTAAACTGGGATACTTTAAAGAGTTTAGGTAGGCTGGGCGTGGTGGCTCACGCCTGTAGTCCTAGCTACTTGGGAGACTGAAGCAGGAGGATCCCTTGAACCCCGGAGGTTGAGCCTGATTGCAGTGAGCTGATTGCTGGACTGCACTCCAGCCTGGGAGACAGAGCAAGGTCCTGTCTTTAAAACAAGCAAACAACACCCCCCACAAAAAAAAAATAACCACACACAGATTTTTTTGGGGCATACACGTATTTTGATCAGTTGCTTAGCTATCTCTGTCTCTAATACCATGTTACTGGTAATTTTCTGAAAAATGTATTTTTTTCAATATGGTCTTATTGTTTTAAGTTTTTTCATAAAATTGCCTGCAATCTGTCTCACGGTTGCATTTTATGGTTAACAAATTTAACATTACAGGTATCTTCAATTGATTTTTCTCTATAGATCATGTCTACCTAAAAGGAAGAAGTGTAGGCAAAATATGGAGAGGTCATTTCGGCCATGGCTGAGAACTGCAGCCTGGGACACACTTCCAGGTTGCCTTGAACAGTACTCTGGAGAACAATGGGGAGGTTCAAATTTTTTAAGAAAAAAGGATGAATCAGGAGAGGGGGTAATTGCAAAGTTGTTTGTCAAGAATTCTCATTGGTTTAAATAAATTACATTGGGCTGGGTGTGGTGGCTCACACCTGTAATCCCAGCACTTTGGGAGGCCGAGTCAGGCAGATCACTTGAGGTCAGGAGTTCGAGACCAGCCTGGCCAACATGGTGAAACTCCGTCTCTACTAAAAATACAAAATTAGCCAGGTGCGTTGGCATGCACCTGTAATCCCAGCTACTCAGGAGGCTGAGGTATGAGAACCGCTTGAATCCGGGAAGCGGAAGTTGTAGTGAGCCGATATTGTGTCCCTGCACTCCAGCCTGGGCAACAGAGTCAGACTCCGTCTCAAAAAAAAAAAAAAAAAAAAAAACCAACAAGGGAGTCTCTCTAGACCAAACTAGAAAGATGGACTCTCATATCCACATCATAACCTCATCATGGGAGTTACATCTCATCACTTTTGCCACATTCTATTGGTTAGAAGCCAGTCATAGGTCCAGCTCACATTCAAGGGGAGGAAATTATAGAAAGATGTGAACACTAGAGGGCAGAGATCATGGGCACCATCTTAGAATTCTTCCCAGTGTTCCCTGGGAAATGGCTCCGAGATTGAGATTTGTGTGCAGGTGGATTACTGGGGGTTGCTTCTGGGAACAACACCTGTAAAGGAGTAAGGAAATCAGACTTGGGATAGAGAGGGATAAGTTTCAATAGAGGCTTCAGCCAACCCCACAGACAGTTCTGAAGCAGAGCTGGTCCTTTAAGAGATGTCCTGAAATGAAGCAAAGAAGCCAGGCCTTTAGAACTGCATTGAGCAATCACTGACGGATGCCCCAGGGAAGTGGGTATAACCTTAGGCAAGGCAGCTTCCTTCAACAGAGGGCAGTTTCTGGGGAGAGACTCAGCTGTGAGCTGTCAGTAACTAATACTCCCATCAGCTAATAATGAGTGCCTCAGTTCTGAAAGGGAATCTGAGTGATATATCATCATTACACTTGGTTAACTGGAATACCTCCTCAGTCAGTATACATATTTTCCCAGCACCGTGAATAAAAGTCAGTTGAATGAGAAATTGAAAGTACCTCTGATTGGTCCCCTCCTGCAACCAATCAGGCTGGTGGCAGGCCAAGTTTTCATTTGTATAGGAGTGTAACTGTGTAACTTCACTTCAGCTTCTGATTGGTCGCTTTCTGCAACCAATCAGACTGATCATGGACCACTACTTCATTTGCATGGGGTGTAATGGGAAACCTCTAGAGGGTATTTAAACCCCAGAAACTTCTGTAATCAAGCTCTTGAGCTGCTTGCTCAGGCCTGCTCTCGCCCTGTGGAGTATACTCTTGAAACCGCCTTTGCAAAAATCATAACTGAGGAAATTATGACAGTGAAAGAGATCAGACCTTACCTACCCTATCTTCCTTCTAACTTCTAAAATGTCTTTGTTCATTCCTGGGTATAGGGCAAACTAGCCTTGGGAAGGAATTTATAGTGTAAACTCTGAGACAAAATTGATAATAGCCCTTTCCCCTTCTTGGTGGGGACCAGATTAGAAATTACGGTTTAGGGACCATGCAGCCTTTGGCTGCAAAAGTCTGAACCTCCCCAAATTGCTCCTGGGAATAACATCACCATTGCAAAACCTAAGATCAGTGCTTGAGATGTTTTGCAGCCCCTGCATTCTCATGCAGCAGAGGACACCACCCAGACTGATAATCTGGCTCAACTAGCTCCAGGATCCTACCCAGGAAGAACTCACTTCTGCAAGAATTCACTTCGACCCCCTGTTAGTTCATCTTCATTCCGACCAATTAGCACTCCCGACTTTCCCAACCCATACCCGCCAAATTATCCTTAAAAACTCTGATTTTGGAATGCTCAAGAAGACTGATTTGAGTGATAATAAAACTCTGGTCTCCCGCACAACCGCTCTGCGTGAATTACTCTTTCGCCATTGCAATTTCCCTGTCTTGATAAATCAGCTCTGTCTAGGCAGCGGACAAAGTGAACCCATTGGGCGGTTACACTTTCGTTTTCAATACATCTCTGCTTTTATTGCTTAATTCTTTCCTTGCTTTGTGCATTTTGTCCAGTTCTTAGTTCAAGGCTCCAAGAATTTGGACACCCCCACAGGTAACAAGACTACAGGTGCCCGCCACCACGTCTAGCTAACTTTTTGTATTTTTAGTAGAGATGGGGTTTTGCCATGTTGCTCAGGCTGGGTTTTTATTTTTTATTTTTTATTTTTTTTGTATTTTTAGTACAGATGGGGGTTTGCTATGTTGCTCAGGCTGATCTCGATCCACCTGGCTCGAGCAATCCGCCAGCCTTGGCCTCCCAAAGTGCCGGGATTAAAGGCCTGGGCCAAGGCGGCTGGCCCACTAAACTTCTTTGTGCATCAGCTACTTCATTTGCCTAATGAGGATGAAAGTAGTCACTTCTGCGTTTTGTGAGCTTTGGTTAATACACGAAAAATGCCATATCTGTTTGCCATTAGCATCCATCATGCCATAACCAAAAAAATTACATTGCATTTTTATTTTTAAAAAGGTGGGGGCCAGAGTGGACCTGGGCCTTTTCCAACTTATGAGAGGTCTCTTATTAAGCAAGCCTTAAGTAGCAGAATTCCATGAAGGGAGCTGGGAAACCAAGATTTTCTAAAAGGAGGTGGCATTTGCATTAATCCTGGCAGGGCAGCTGCGAATTCCACGGGATTGGGGGTGGCGCCTTTTCCAAGGCAGTCCTGGGCTTACGCTGGGCTGCGGCTGCTCCGGGCGCGTTTCCGGGAAACGCAGCGGCGCCGACCTTGGGTCTCGCACATTCTTCACGTCCGTTCGTAGCGTCACCCGGATCTTCGCCGCCTCACTTGTGGGCCCCTCGGCGACGCTTCCCGCTCCGCCCCTAAGTCGGGAAGGTTCCTTGCGGTTCGCGGCGTGCCGGACGTGACAAACGGAAGCCGCACGTCTCACTAGTACCTTCGCAGACGGACAGCGCCAGGGAGCAATGGCAGCGCGCCGACCGCGATGGGCCGTGGCCAATAGCGGCTGCTCTGCACGGCGCGCCGGGAGCAGCTGCCGGGAAGGGGCGGTGCGGGAGGCGGGGTGTGGGGCGGCAGTGCAGCCCCTGTTCCTGCCCGCGTGGTGTTCGGCATTCTTCTCGTCTCTCGAGCGCACGTCTGCGGTAGGCTCCCTGGTTGTCCGAATCACCGACCTCTCTTCCCAGCTGTATTTCCAAAATGTCGCTTTCTAATAAGCTGACGCTGGACAAGCTGGATGTTAAAGGGAAGCGGGTCGTTATGAGGTAATTCTGCACGTTTGCCCGCGTGGCCTCTGTGCTCTGTCGCAAACCTCTTTGGCCTGAGCCGACTTGTTCTCTCGTCTGCTCTACGTCGCTTTTTGCTTTTGGCTGGGCCCCACGGGTCCTAGGCTTGGAGGGCGAGGCTGCTCACGGGTTTGGTGGTTTCTAGCCGCATTTTCTGCAGCCCAGAAAGCAGCCGAAACCCCCTTCGGGGATGGGTCCCACTAAGGAAGGGCTGAGATTGCTGCTGGGACCCATTTTGTCCTTTTTCCTATTGGTGAAATGCAGTTCCGTTGCCTCCACCTCCCAATCGGCGAGATGAGACTTAATGCTTATCCTGCAAATCTCTAGGCTTCAAGGAAGGACCTTGAAAGGTCATTTTGTTAATTTCCCTTCCCCCACACTCCTAGACCGTCGCAGACAAATGAGAAACGGCCCACATCTCACAGGTCCCTGCACAAAAAGATATCTTTCCAAGAGGATGTTGATTTAACTGTTCAGGAGTAGACCCCCCAGTCCCCCGCCCCTAAAGAATTGGGGTGGGAGGGTAGGGCGGGGCGCACCGGAGGAGGCCCTGCAGAGCTTATGTAATAGGCTTCTGCTGCCCTGCAGCGTGGTATCGTTGGACTCTTGGGCACAGGATTTGCATCAGGATTGTGACATACTAGGTAATGGTAGAGCAGGGTGTGGCTGCTCATACTTGCTGGCCTCCAACCTCATCCCCACGTGTGGCTAGAAAAGCAGAATTTTGAAAGTGGGGGAAGGTTCCTTGTGCACTTTGGGTGTCTTACTCTGCTCATGTTGATCTCTGGTCACTTGCCAACACGGCTTCTCTCTTATCTGCCAGAATTGTTGGTATAGTGTGGAGCTTTTACCTTTATCCTTTTTGTCACGTGTGGTATATTTGTGCATGCCAGGAGCAAGGTGCAGGAGGATGAGTCGGTATGTAACTGATGGACTTGACTGTTCATATACCTTAACAGGATCCAAGAGTGGTGTTTTTGAGGGGTCATAAAGGTTTCTGTTGATAGCATTTTGCAACCTTGACCTTTTTGGGAAGTGGTTGATTGATGGGTAGGCATGTGGCTGGTGTAATCTAGCCCCTTTTCCAATTTGGGCTGGTTCAAATGAGGGCTTGTGTTGGATATTAACAGACACATAAGTCAATAGGAGATCTCCCTTTACTCTAACTTTAAACATGCGAGGACACGTTTGAGTTAGGGAAGTGTATGGGTACTCTAAGAGTACATGTAGCTCTCCCCTTCTCTCTAATTTCACTTTGGTCAGTATTACTTTGCAGGTAACCTCTGCCCTGCTGTGGAGATAGAATAACCCAATAATTTATGTCCATGAAAAATGCCTGATTTCCACATTTCCCCAAATGGCATAGGCCTTTGCAATCTGGACAAAGTAGGAATCACAGCCATGTTAGTACTAGAAGAGTGCCCTTTCTGGCCCTCATATAATCCTAATAAAAGGGGATAGACCCTGTAAAAAACAGGACAGGTGGACATTGGCATGCAACTAGCTTTTAGGTTTTAATTAGTTCCTTGCATCTCCCCTGTGTTCGAGGCTGATTCTTCCAGATGCATGGACCAACTAAAAGACAAGGAGTGGGACATCATGCGGATAACCTTCCTATAATTGCAGTCTTGGGCTTTATTTCCTCTCTCTGTAGGGAAACTGGCTTGAAGAAGCTAGCTGGGGGTGGGATTGTAGGAGCTGCTTAACTTTTCTCCTTCTGGACCTAATAAAGTTTCATTTAGCACACACCAACCCAGAGCCTTGAAATGATTGGCTAGTCATGTTTTGCCGATGGAAAATGACCTGTTCAGGGTTACTGAACTACTAAGGTGGTGGTGGCAGAGCTGGGAGTAGAATTTGGGTCTCCTTGGCTATCAGCTAGATCCTCTAGATCAGCTAGATATTCGAGACAATATCAGCTAGATATTTGAGACAATGACCAAGGATACGTTGAAATAGACCTTTCTCCTGTAATCTGGATACCTTCTTATTTAGGCTGAGGACAGGAAGTTACATCGTTCCCTGATAATTAATGTATTTCTTTTGAACAGAGAGTTTCATTGTAGGCCTACTTTTTTGGAGGTGCCTAGGCAGCCACGTGGTGTCAGCTCAATTCTTTTTTGTTTCAACGTGGTGGTTGCTGGCAGTGTTTCCGGAGTGGGGCTTCCTGAGTTGAGTAGTGGCTGCCTCATTTGTCGTCTTTGTCCTGCAGAAGTGAACTCTGGTATTTGCTGACTCTTCTGGTCCACTGGTTTGGATTGCCAAGGGAAATTGATTTGTTGAAGGAAAACGGGGTAGCCAGAAACCTCTGACTTGTTAATTACCAGGTTCCATCTTAGTTTTTTAGGACTCCCCAGTTGACTTTACACCCTCTTTGAATACACTTCTGCTTATTTTTGTGGTAATTTCCTTTCTTTCTCTCATAGGTTGCCAGTCATCCTTTGCTTGCACTTCCTTTTTGCTTGCTCCTGCCTGTTTTTTTTTAAACCTCACTGGTTTTCTCCAACCTGTTGTAACTTGTAAAGAAACTGCTTTGATGTAGTAGGAAGAGAAACAGGAAAAAATTGAGAGCAGAGAAAAAGTCTCTAAGACACCCACAATATCCCAGTTTTCCATGTGGGGCAGTGAAGGACATGGTTCCTTTGAGAATTTTTAATGGAACTGGACCTGGGACCTGAGATTTCAGGGGATAGAGACTTGATATTCTTATTCCAGCTAAACCAGTATATTTTTTAATGTTTTATTTTGAAATAATTAAAGATTCATGGGAGGTTATGAAGTTAGAGAGGTCTTGTGTTCACCCATTTTCCCCCAATGAATGCATCTTACCTAATTATAGTACAATATCAAAAGTAGGAAATTGCATTGGTATAAAGTGTGTATGGTTCTATGCCATTTTTACGTGCAAAGATTTGTGTAACCACCACCACAATCAAGATACAGAACTATTCATTCAATCACCACCAAGATCTCCTTCTTGCTACCCCTTTATAATAATAACCAACCCGTTTCCTAACTCCTGGTAACTACTGATCTATCCACTGTTTCTAAAATTTTGTCACTTCAAAAATACTATACAGATAGAATCACGTGGTGTATAACCTTTTGGGATTAACTTTTTTCACTTAGCATAATGTCCTCAAAATTTATTCACATTGTCACATGTATCAAAAGTTCATTCCTGTGTATTCTTGAGTAGTATTCCGTGATATGGATGTATCATAGTTTCTTTAACTATCATTGAAGGGTATTAGGGTTGTTTCTGATTTGGGGCTATTACAAATAAAGCTGCTGTGAACATTTGTATACAAGTCTTGGTATGGACATATGCTGTCATTTTTCATGGGTAAACACCTAGGAGTGGAATTGCTGGGCCACATCCTTTTGAGGTATCCTCAGACTGTTTTCCAAGGTGACTGCAGCATTTTACATTTCTACCAGCAGTATGTGAATAATGAGTTTCTCTGCATCATTACCAGCACTTGGTGGTGCTATTATTTTTTATTTTAGTTATTCTTCGTTCTGATGGCTATGTAGTAATAACTGACTTTGTGCCTGAAGTAAAGCTCAGGAGTGTTATAAGGAAACGAAAAAAAAAAAAAAAAGGAAATTGTGCATATTTTATGTAAAATGGAACCAGTAGAATCTGTAGGCAAGAGCAGTTTCTGTGTTGGAGTCCTCAGAGGAGAAGTAAAAGCAGAGCTGTTTGAGTGTAGGAGATGAGGGGAGGTAATCCAGAGGGCATTGAGGAGAGAGTATAAACCAAGTCTAATTCATTAGTAAGCTGACACCATGGCAGCTAGGGTAGATGAGACAGATTCTTAGGTGTCTCTGCCCAAAGATATTCCTCTCTGTAAGGGTCAGGGGTAGAGAGTAGCACTGCAAGAAGTGGCTTGTGCCCATCCTTTTGCCATTAGTCCTTTTGAGCATAGGCCTTCTGGGAGGTTGCATGGGGCAAAATGACCCATGGTAATGGGATACTCTCTCTTCTTTGGAATGTACTTTAAGGCTGGCAGGCACCTTGTTCAGGATATTTAAAGAAGACAGAGAATCAAGTGGCCTGAAGCAAAGTAGAGTGTATTTCTTTCATCAGAGGCTTACTGCCTTTAATTTTGAAGACTTTAAAACATGTTTTAATATAGAATTATTTTTCCTCAACCTACCTTTGGAAAGGCTGTTTCTTCAGTGAGGTGCATTGGAGTTCAGGCCTAGTGGATACAGGAAATTGGTGGTCTTCTCAGTATGTCTGTAGGAGTTTGTAATTGCCTTAGCCTTAGAGAGGAAGGGGTATTTAAAAAGGCAGATGAAAAAGATGGAGGCTTATAATCAAGGATAGCAGCGGTCTTCTTGATTAGGTCATACTTCGCTGTAGTCCCTTTGCAAGTGATGCTAGCTAGCTGTTTTTAGTAGTGGTTGATGTACTTGTCAAATCACAGAATTACATGTTGGAGAAACATATAACAACAACTAACACTTTTATGGCACTTACTGTGTGTCAGGTACACTTCTAAGCACTTTACAAATTGCTGGCTGACTTAAGTCTCTCAATAACTACGAGGTAGATACTGTCATCCCCATGAGAAAAAAATCACTTAAAAATGATCATGGTAGGCACAGACCTTAAAAATAGCTACTATGCATTATTGTTTTCATTCACATTGAAGTAGGCTGAGGTTCCAAGGAGTTCAGAATAATTGGTTCTTAAGAATGGTAACACAGTAATCTGTTGGGTAAGAGAGACTGCAGTGCATTATTATCTTGTGTCATCTTGATTACTTCCCTTCTAATTTGCCTGTTTGTCAGGTGGGCTGGGGCACATGTCCCACCCTCTCTTCTCAGGCTTTTTGAAAGAGGCTGTCTTATGTTAGTGTGTATTGCTTGAAGGACCCTTAGTCTTAAGGCCCCAGACTTTCTCCAAAAAGAATGATTTTTCTCTTAGTGTGTTTTATTTTTCCAGTTAATTTTTTTCTCCAGTCATGTTAGTTTCACAAGGACCCAGAAATAGTATCAAGGGAATTAGGATCAAGATGCATTCCTTATTATTCCTCACCCCTCCAGCTGCTACCCAGATACTATCATGCCAGACCCAGACAGATATCTTTTTAGATGAAACTGGCTTTAGCTTCCCAGATCTTCAGGGCTAGTTCCTGTGATTTAAGTTAGGTTTTATTTTTTTAAAATTCTTTTTTTTTTTTTTTTTTTTTGAGACGGAGTCTCGCTCTGTCGCCCAGGCTGGAGTGCAGTGGCGCGATCTCGGCTCACTGCAAGCTCCGCCTCCTGGGTTTACGCCATTCTCCTGCCTCAGCCTCCTGAGTAGCTGGACTACAGGCGCCCGCCACCGCGCCGGCTAATTTTTTGTATTTTTAGTAGAGACGGGGTTCACCGTGGTCTCGATCTCCTGACCTTGTGATCCGCCCGCCTCGGCCTCCCAAAGTGCTGGGATTACAGGCGTGAGCCACCGCGCCCGGCTAAAATTCTTTTAAAAGTATTAATACATACCTAAAAGGGCACAAATCACAATTTCAAAGAATTACCACAGAATGAGCACATTTGTATGATCACTGAGGTTAAGAGATAGAACATTACCAGAACCCCAAAGCCTCTGGTGTCCTATCCCAGTCACCACTCCCTCCATCCTCCCCACGACTAACCACTATTTTAACTTTTAATGCCACTGATGATTTTTAAGATGAGATTTGAATTTCCGACTTATTTAACTGGTTCATTAAAAGTGCATCTCCTAATCTTTGATGGAACAATAAGTTGATCATGGTCTTGAATCTTTCTTTTTTAGAGTCGACTTCAATGTTCCTATGAAGAACAACCAGATAACAAACAACCAGAGGTAAGGTCCCTGCTAAGCCTTGGGCTGGGTTTAAATGTGTGGGTACATAGGATGAAATGTTTTTCCTTTCATATTGTGTTATGGAACTGTAGCAACTTGAAACATATGATTTTGGCTTTCTATCAACCCACTATCTGATCTGCTTTCTTGTTTATGAGAATATACAAATGTAAGCAAAATCTTAAGAAAGTGTAAGAATATACAAATGTAAGCAAAATCTTTTTTTTTTTTTTTTTGAGACGGAGTCTCGCTCTGTCGCCCAGGCTGGAGTGCAGTGGCCGGATCTCAGCTCACTGCAAGCTCCGCCTCCCAGGTTTACGCCATTCTCCCGCCTCAGCCTCCCGAGTAGCTGGGACTACAGGCGCCCGCCACCGCGCCCGGCTAGTTTTTTGTATTTTTAGTAGAGACGGGGTTTCACCGTGTTAGCCAGGATGGTCTCGATCTCCTGACCTCGTGATCCGCCCATCTCGGCCTCCCAAAGTGCCGGGATTACAGGCTTGAGCCACCGCGCCTGGCCCCTGTAAGCAAAATCTTAAGAAAATTAGAAGAATTTGGAGTTCATTTTCTTTTTTTGAGATAGGGTCTCACTCTGTCACCCAGACTGGAGTGTAGTGGTGTGATCACGGTTCACTGCAGCCTTAACCTTCTGGGCTCAAGCAATCCTCTGGCCTCAGCTTCCCGACTAGCTGGGAAAACAGATGCATGCCACTACGCCTGGTTAAATTAAAACAATATGTTTTTGTAGAGATGGGGTCTCACTGTGTTGCCTAGGCTGTTCTCAAACTCCTGGACTCAAGTGATCCTCCTGTCTTGGCTTCCTAAAGTGCTGGGACCACAGGTGTGAGCCACCACACCTGGCAGAGGTATTCATTTTTAAAGAATATAAAAGCTGGCTGGGTGCGGTGGCTCACACCTGTAATCCCAGCACTTTGGAAGGCCGAGGCAGGAGGATTGCTTGAGGCCAGTAGTTCGAGAACAGCCTGGCCAACATAGTGAGACATCATCTCTATAAAACACACAAAAATAAAAAGAATATAAAAGTTTAAAGTTACTTGGCTTCTCTTGCAAAATGAAGAACTATGTAAGAGAAGGATTTTAAAAGTACCAGTAGTTATTAAGGTTATGTGTAGTTTTACAAGCCCTCGTTCCAGATGGCTCAGATAAAGTCAATTTTTGAGAATTTTCATCTGTTTTTGCTTCCAAAAAACAAACAGGAAAGACTTCGGAAGTACATTTTCAGTCAGTTTAGCTGCTCCAATGTCTTGGATCCTAGATTCAGAAACAGAAATTTTAAGTGAGAGTACTGTTCTTGCTTTTGACTAGATTGTAAAAAGTCTTTATTTATTTTTGTCTTTACTTTTTAAGTTTTGATTTTTGTAGAATATATATATATATATATATATGGGTTACATGAGATATTTTGATACAAGCATGCAGTACATAATAATCACATCAGGTTAAATGGGGTTTCCATGAAGAAGGTTTTTATTTAATTTTTTTTTTTTTTTTTGTAGAGACAGGGCCTTGTTCTGTCGCCCAGGCTGGAGTGCAATGGCACGATCTTGGCTCACTGCAATCTCTGCCTCCTGGGCTCAAGTGATCCTCCCATCTCAGCCTCCCAGGGAGCTGGGACCACAGGCGTGGGCCACCACACCTGGCTACTTTTTTGTATTTTTTTTTTTTTGTAGAGACAGGGTTTTGCCATGTTGCCTAGGCTGGCCTTGAATTCCTGGACCCTGCCCACCGTGGCCTCTCAAAGTGCTGGGATTACAGGCGTGAGCTACTGTGCTCAGCCTATTTTAAATTTTAAATGAAGGGTTGTACTGGCAAGGTGCTTTCCGATGATGTAGACCAGTGGCATCTAATAGAAATATAATGTGAGCCAAATTGTATTAATTAAATTAAAGGGACATTTAACTTTTTTGGTACTAAGTCTTCAAGATCTGGCATGTGTTTTTATACTTACAGCACATCTCAATTTGATCTAGTTATATATCTAGTACTGAACAGACACACAGACTTAAATGACTGTCATATTGGATGGTGCAGGTCTAGACCCAGAACATTTTCAGGTATTCGTCCCAGAATAGAGCCTGTCATTTTGCCAAGCACATCCCTTATATCTGTTAAATATTAATAGCATAAGATATTTTAGAAATACAACTTTTTTAATCATTCCATTCTTTGCTCAGATGTCATCTTATCACACTGTCCCTGGCCATCTTATCTAAAAATCTCCTCTACCATTGTTCTCCGATTATTTTTGTCCTCAAAAGTAGGGAGACAAAAATGAGGAACAATGGTGTGTTTTTTTCTGTATCTCACCATCTGATGTATTACATGTACACACACATACGTACATGTTTATTGTCTCTCTCCATTAGAATTTCACTCCCATGAGAACATAGACTTTTAAAAAAAGTTTTCCGTTTCATTCTCAGAACCTGGAATGATGCCTGGCACAAAAGAAGCATTCAGTAACTATTTGGTGAATAAATAAATGCTTTTCTTTATCAATTTTAATTTCTTATAAACTGGAAAAATGGCAAGTTAGTAGCAGGTTTGTAACAAAACTTTTAAATGTCTAAAGGGAGTTAATTTTTTGATTAATTTATAATGTAATAAACGTGATACATTATGGAAACCAAGCTCTGTACAGTGCAATTATTTTTTCCTACATAAAAAAGTGACTTAGTATCTATTAATATAATAGGTGCAGAAAAGTTACTACATGTTTTTGATTTTTCCCCAAATTTCCTTTGATGGTTTCAAGATTTGAGAATTTTATGTATTTTCCATAGTCATATAAGAAGAGTGTGTTCAGGGGTCCCCCAGGACCACCCACATATCTCATGATGATTTACTAGGGTTCAGAGTTGTTCTCATGGCTGAAGTGTATTACAGTGAAAGAATACATGACAAGATTAGGAAGAGGAAAAGACCATGGGGCAGTCTAGAGAAATCCATGGGCTTCCAGTTTCCCGTGAGGGGACACATCAAGTGTTTTTCTTCAGCTGTGAAAAATGCAGTAATTGTCTGCAATGTTTCTGCCTGGAGAAGCCTGCTAGAGACTCAGATCCCAAGATTTTTGTTGGGAACTGGTCATGTAGGTATCCTCTGCCTAGCAACTACCAAAATTCCAAACTTTGGCTGGGTGTGGTGGCTCATGCCTGTATTCCCAGCAGTTTGGGAGGCTGAGGCCGGCAGATAACTCGAGCCCAGGAGTTCAAGACCAGCCTGGACAGCATGGCAAAACCCCTACAAAAAATACAAAAATTAGCTGGGCATGGTGGTGCATTCCTGTAGTTCCAGCGACTTGGGAGGCTGAGGTGGGAAGATCACCTGAGCCCCCGGGGAGGTTGAAGCTGCAGTGAGCCAAGATTGTGCCTCTCCACTCCAGCCTGCTGGGTGACAGAGTGAGACCCTGTCTCAAAAAAAAAAAAAAAAAAAAAAAAAAAAAAAAACTAGACTTCTAGAGTGGGGCAGGTGTTCAGCATAAATCACCATGTTTGTATAGACAGTCTAGGAAGAGTGAATAGCCCTTGTCGGTCTTGTCACTTGTCAGTTAACTTTGAAAGCCAAGTTCCCAGATACCAGCCAGGATCCAATCTTGCAAACAGGCCCTTCTGTAGATAGCAGCCTCAGGCCTGCTGTGTTAACTGTTTTCTGTGAAAGGGGCAGATACATAATGAGATTGTACAATCCTAGGTGGAGGGTTGGCATTGTATTTAACTTCTTCCCCTAAGGACCACCACTGAATTACTGATAAGTAGATTTGAAGGAACTTGGAGAAGAAAAGGAACTTTATGCTTTATGAGGTTATCAATAAAGTAGTTCCCACTAATTTCTAGGACTAACTTCCTTCTGTTTGTTGTCTCTTTTTGGTTGCAGGATTAAGGCTGCTGTCCCAAGCATCAAATTCTGCTTGGACAATGGAGCCAAGTCGGTAGTCCTTATGAGCCACTTAGGCCGGCCTGATGGTGTCCCTATGCCTGACAAGTACTCCTTAGAGCCAGTTGCTGTAGAACTCAAGTCTCTGCTGGGCAAGTAAGTGCCAGGCTCTGGTGCTGGTAGACTTTGTGGTGGGGGAGGTTGTCAGGCACGTTGTTACTGGTTCTTAACTTTCAGACTGCTCAAGTGTCTTCATTTCTTCCTCTCCTCAGGGATGTTCTGTTCTTGAAGGACTGTGTAGGCCCAGAAGTGGAGAAAGCCTGTGCCAACCCAGCTGCTGGGTCTGTCATCCTGCTGGAGAACCTCCGCTTTCATGTAGAGGAAGAAGGGAAGGGAAAAGATGCTTCTGGGAACAAGGTAGGACCTGTGATTTTGACATTATTGGGGACGAGGGCCTGAGTCTGTAAGAGACTGTGGTTGAAGAATAGAGAAAGCTCATTTATTTTTCCTTAGACACCTTTTATTGAAGTATACAGTGCACAGCTTGATGGAGTATCTCAAAGTAAACACACTTGTGTAACCACCACCTAGGTCAAGGGATAGAATATTACCAGCATCCCAGAAGCCCTCCTTTGTGTTCACGTGGTGTTTAAATATGTTTGAAAAATATGTGAACACCTTTGTTGTGGAAGAGTATTCAAAAGTGAATATGATGGTCATGATGATGTCACCTTGGATTTAAGGCATTTTCTTAAGACGTATAAACCATGTTCCTTTAAATCTCTCTTTAAGATAAAGAGGTCCAGGTATCACCTTATTTCATAAAGAAACTAAGCCTCAAAAAAAAAAAACTTTAGTTTCTGAAAGGCAGTCATATGATTAAAGTTAGAGGCAGTGGTGCTGTTGGTGGGCTTTAGAGCTCAGCCCATTCAATCAGCAAACTTTTTCTGTAAATGGCCAGATAGTTAATATTTTAGGCTTTCTGTGTTGTGCAGTCACTTCCGTCTGCATATAGTCTCTGTTGGAACTACTCATCTCTGCCGATGTTGTGCAAAAGCAGCCTAGATAACTCACCAAACAGATTACTGTGAACTGACAACTGGAATTCAAATATTCAGTGATAAAACTGTCTCTTTGCAGATGATTTTGAATTTGCCCATTGGCTAGAAAGGAAGCTGAAGGCATTTTTTAGTACTTTCCACTATTCTGGTCTTTAGTGTCTCAGAGAACAAGTATCTCAGTCTCCTTTGGCTTCTCACATTTCTTAAGGTCATTGGGAGTGCCTGCTTTCAAGCAGTTTCTTTTTTTAGCACCAAAGGTGCTGGTCTTGCCTTATCCTGCTTTTGGCATGGTCTTACTACAGTATTAGGAGTCAAATGCTGACCTAAAATTTGGTGTCCTTTTAAACTGGAATTCATGATGCATGAACTCTAGGGCTTAGAAGTGGCAGGAAACAACGGGCAAATTGAAGCAAAACTTTTTATTTAGGAAATGATGAGCTGACTGTGCTAGTCTATGACTGTTTTATTTAATTGACTTGACATTCACTATCCAATGGCTTTTAATACCTGAAATTTCAGGAGTCAGTCCCAAGTTCAAAATGGATTAAAAAAACAAAGTAAGGCTGGGCACGGTGCCTCACACCTGTACCAGCACTTTGGGAGGCTGAGGTGGGTGGATCATGAGGTCAGGAGTTCGAGACCAGCCTGGCCAACATGGTGAAGCTCCGTTTCTACTAAAAATACAAAAAAGTTGGGCATGGTGGCAATTGCCTGTAATCCCAGCTACTCGGGAGGCTGAGGCAGGAGAATTGCTTGAACCGAGGAGGTGGAGGTTGCAGTGAGCCGAGTTTGCGCCACTGCATTCCAGCCTGGGTGACAGAGCAAGACTCTGTCTCAAAAAAACCACAAAAACAAAGTGAGGACATGAGGACATAAACATTTTCCCTTTATCCAAAGTGCCCACATTGATCTTTTAAGGGCCTTCTCTTTCTTCTAGTTATTTGCAGATCAGTAAATGAGAAATGAGTTCTGATTGATACTGTTTATTTCCATGGCACCTTTATTCATGAAGAGCTTTCAGTTTACCCCGTTTTTCCTTAAATATCTTTTTAAAGAGACAGGGTCTTGTTCTGTTTCCCATGGTGGAGTGCAGTGGCATGATCCTAACTCATTGCAGCCTCAAACTTGTGGGCTGAAGTGATCCTCCTGCTTCATCCTCACGAGAAGCTAGGACTACAGGCACCTACCACTATGCCCAACTGACTTTTACTTTTTTTTTTTCCTGGTAGAGACGGGGTCTTGCTATGTTGCCCAGGCTCATCTCAAACTCCTGGGCTTAAGTGATCTTCCCATGTTGGCCTCCCAAAGTGTTGGGATTATAGGTGTGAGCTACTGCCCCTGGCCTCCTTAAATAGTTCTTAAACGGAGGGGTTGTTATGCCTTTTTGACAGAAGGGAAAATTTCAGAGAGAGCAACTTCCCAAAGGTTACACAATGAATTAGTGTCAGAGCTGGACATAGAACTCAGGTCTCCTTACATTTGAGCATTGTTATCATTACTACATGTGTCATCTTCCAATCACTAGTGGCAGATGTTATTCTATTCTAGAGAGGTTATGGGAGTGCCACAATCTTCAATTTTAGCATTAGTGCCTCAGCAATTCTTTGGGTCTTTAGGGAAAAGCCCCATTTTTTATGGCAGTCCATAAAAAATGGACTCCTTGATACATAGGAGCATAGGAGTGGGCAGTGACTAAAATGAACATCCGCTTTGTGCTGTGTACTCTTCTGTGTCATGTCTCCTTTCATCTGGCTTGCTTCCTGTGCATCTTTGCTTAATCTCCTGCCAGAGACTCTCTGTTTTGCTTATCCTCCCATCTTGCTTTCTGTCCCTTTTGGGGTATCCCTTGATGGCAAGCTGACATTTCAAAGCTCTATGTTTAACTTCTACATTTTCTTCCTCTCTCTTTTTGTAGAAGTGTATTTCTTGTGTTCTCAGATGCCTAGCTTCCAGAGAAGACCATAAAATACCTCTTTGTCAATGTAAAGTGTTTCTGAAGTCCTTTTCTGTTGTCATGTTTCCATCTGCCTTCTCTGTCCCAGCTTGCCCTTGTTGCTTTTATAAGGAATATGTGTGAGAGCCCCTTTCACTTCGCAGAAAGGCCTTGGTAGCCAGCAGCTTGAGTCAAGTATGATACTATCACAAGGAGAATGTTTAAAATGAGGAACTAAGTCAAGGAGAGGGAAGGATAATCAGAACCTTGAGCTGAAGGCTGGGGAGAGGCTAGTGGGATGTTGTTAACTTCATGTGATTAGAGGTTAAGCCATTGTTCAGGAATATTAGGTTTGCAATTTGAGGGAAGTTAAGGGAGAGTAGAAACATGCAGAAATGACCAAAGTACCTGGAATATTTGGAAGAAAGAACACATCCTACTGCTGGTTGTAAAAAATCACTGTCCCACCTACTCGGGGTCTTTAGAGATGTTTAAGAGGACTCTTGGTGTATGAAATGCTTTTATAGTTGTCTTTGGAGCCATCACATTTTCTGTTTTTGTTTTTCTCTACAGGTTAAAGCCGAGCCAGCCAAAATAGAAGCTTTCCGAGCTTCACTTTCCAAGCTAGGGGATGTCTACGTCAATGATGCTTTTGGCACTGCTCACAGAGCCCACAGGTACCAAGAACCTTGTTGACTACCACACTAAGAACAGCATTCCTGTTTACTTGAGTAGCCCAAGCTCTGGGTTGCTTTTGGAGAGTCCTGTATTATACTGTAATCCTTTCAGCTTCTCTAATTGGTACTGCCACTGTGGCTCTTGTTGAGTAGCTCTCATCCAAAGAGGAAATAAAGGTAAAAAAATGTTGGTGACTGTAGAGCCTTTTGTGGAGTTTCAGGAAGAGGTTGCTCTTTCTCACCTTAGATACTTTGTACAGAGTTATCCTTTTATGAACGTTATAAGATCAGACTCTCATGCTGTCGGTAGGAAGCAAATTGAGGAATCCTCTTCTGCTATCATCAACCGGCCAATTACTTATCTGTGATTTGCCCTTTGGCCTGCTGAAGAGTGTTAACTGGGTATCTTAAATTCTACCGAAGTTCAATACTTTTTACTCTTTCCCCTTGACCTTGCACTATTAGGTAAAAATCTTATCTTGTACCTAAGTGTTTTTTGTTGCAATGTAGGGATGAAAACCATGATTTCTTGCAGTCCAAAAGTAGAACTGTTTTAGTGATAAGGAGCTGGCCTCTAGGACTAGGAGGAATAATAGGGATTGACTAGAATTTGAATGTCTTTGATCTTTTCTAGCTCCATGGTAGGAGTCAATCTGCCACAGAAGGCTGGAGGATTTTTGATGAAGAAGGAGCTGAACTACTTTGCCAAGGCCTTGGAGAGCCCAGAGCGACCTTTCCTGGCCATCCTGGGCGGGTATGAAGAACTCTTTAACTCTTTAAGATCATGCTTTAAGTATTGTTTGCCTGGTAGTAGGCCATAACTTGGGTGGTTTATTGTCATACAGCTCAGTCACACTGGGTAACTGAGGAGAATTTAATAAAGGAACTACAGGCTGGGCATGGTGGCTCACACCTGTAATCCCAGCACTTTGAGAGGGCCCAGGCAGGAAGATCGCTTGAGCCCAGGAGTTTGAGACGGGCCCAGGCAACAAAGTGAGACCCTATGTCTACAAAAAAAATTAGCTGGGCGGTGGTGGTATGCACCTGTGGTCCCAGCTACCAGAGAGGCTGAAGTGGGAGGATCACTTGAGCCTGGGAGGTAGCAGCTGCAGTGCACTGTGATCAAGCCACTGCACTTCAGCCTGGGTGACAGAGCAAGACCCTGTTTCGAAATGAGTGAATGAATCAATGAATGAATAAATAAATAAATAAAATACAGAGGTGTGGGTAGGGTTCAGGGAAACCGCAAAGGGACAGTACAGTAATTTGGGGCTAGCAACAGGCATCACCATCTCTAGGCCTGAAGGGACAAAGGGAGGGGAATGGTTATCAGAATTCAGAGAGGACAGTTGGTATGGAGACAGCTATCCGACGGGAACTGTAGCCTTTGGTCAAAGGACACAAGATCTGGTAGGGAGGGGGAGTGAGGGCAATAAATACTCTAATCTTTCAGTCTCCTGCTGCTGCACTCCCTCCTACCCTCAATTTGGCTGAAACCCAAATGGAAACCAGAGGGCAAGAAAACTCCTTGATGTAGTCCATGCAGGTCCGCCTCCTGTGACACAACAGGGTAGAGAAGGATAGAAGATGGCTCTGCAGGGAAGAATGGGAAAGATCCACTATAGGTGCTCATCTAGCAATTTTGAAGTGCTTGAGCCTTTTACATACATACAACCTGGCAGGGTATAACTATGAAAACCTCTTCATATGTGTTTAATATATAATTTAGACCTAATTTCTCCAGATTACATACCTATTTTATTTTTTCTCCTATAGGGTAAGGCAGCAAGTAGATAATGATTTTCTAATGGCTTAGTTAAAAATAGAAATTTCAGAATTGAGGGTGGAGAGGAGGATAAATTTTAGGTGATAAAGCAGGGATAGAGAGCCAGCACTGCTTGGATAAGACAACTTCCTGTGACTTGGTGTGGTGATCTAGGTAACAGCCTCTTTATGGCTGGAGGCCCATTACCCTTCTATGAGCAGAGTTTTTTCCCCCAGGGGAGTGGACATACTATTTCCTGATGAAAATTGACTCTGGAGTTGGGTGTCAATTTCAGGTAGTATAGTTGCTTATACCGTTTGGCTCTGTGTCTCCAGCCAAATCTCATCTTGAATTATAATCCCCATGTGTTGTGGGAGGGACCTGGTGATTGGATCCTGGGGGCGGTTCCCCCCATTACAGTTCTTGTGATAGTGAGTTCTCACTAGATTTGATGGTTTAAAAGTGTTTGGGGCCGGGCGCGGTGGCTCAAGCCTGTAATCCCAGCACTTTGGGAGGCCGAGGCAGGCGGATCACGAGGTCAGGAGATCGAGACCATCTGGCTAACACGGTGAAACCCCGTCTCTACTAAAAAATACAAAAAACTAGCCGGGCGAGGTGGCCGGCGCCTGTAGTCCCAGCTACTCGGGAGGCTGAGGCAGGAGAATGGCGTAAACCCGGGAGGCGGAGCTTGCAGTGAGCTGAGATCCGGCCACTGCACTCCAGCCCAGGTGACAGAGCGAGACTCCGTCTCAAAAAAAAAAAAAAAAAAAAAAAAAGTGTTTGGCAGTTCCCCCCTTGCTTGCCTCTCTTTTGCCAGTAGTAAGATAACTTGCTTCCCCTTTGCCTTCTGCCATGATTGTAAATTTCCTGAGGCCTTTCCAGGCATGGGGAACTTTGAGTCAATTAAACCTTTCTTTATAAATTACCAAGTCTCAGGTAGTTCTTTATAGCATTGTGAAAATGGGCTAATACAGTTGCTCTCTAGGCTTTATGAGCCCAGTTTCAGAGTCTTAAAAATAACTCACGTAGATACAGGTTGTTGTGTCTTGTTCTTGGAAAAAGATATATATTCCTGGGCTTTGTTCTCCAACTTTCTGTAGACCTGGAATATGGGAGTGAGTGCCACCTAGTGCCACCTTATGGTTAGGTTTTTAGGTTCAGACTGAAATAGCTGTTATGGGGAAGTGGATATGAGATTTTTTTACCACCTTTCTTGCAGTGTAGTTTCCCTAGGCCATTAACAGTTTTTGGGAAAACTTTTATTTTTTATTAAACAAGCTTTATTGTAATAAACACTCATATGTACAGAAGTTGAGAGAATAGTATAGTAAACTCCCAGGTACCCATTACCCTGTTTCAACAATTAATTGACATTTTTGCTAATCTTGTTTCTTTTATGTCCTAACTCTGTTTTGTCAGGAATGTATATACACATATATATATACACACACATATATATGTATATATTACTGACAAAGTGAATACAAGTGAGATAAATATGTGTGTTATGTGTGTATCTCTCTCTCTCTCTCTCTCTCTCTCTATATATATATATATATATATTTTTTTTTTTTTTTTTTTTTTTTTTTTTCTGCTGCCCAGGCTGAAGTGCAGTGGCATGATCACAGCTCACTGCAGCTTTGACCTTCCGGGCTCAAGCGATCCTCCCACCTCAACCTCCCGAGTAGCTGGGACTACAGGCATGCATCACCATGCCCGGCTAATTTTTGAATTTTTTTTGTAGAGACAGGGTCTCACTATGTTGCCCAGGCTGGTCTCAAACTCCTGGGCTCAGGCGATCTGACTGCCTTGGTCTCCCAAAGTGTTGAGATTACAGGTGTGAGCTTGTGCCTGTAATGTTTTTAAGTTAGCCTTAGACATCATATACTTTCACTTATGTAGGTTTGAGTATCTCTTATCTGAAATGCTTGGGACCATAAGTGTTTTGGATTTCAGATTTATTTTTGGATTTTGGAATATTTGCATGGTACTTACTAGTTGAGGATCCTAATCTGAAAATATGAAATCTGAAATGTTCCAATGATATTTCCTTTGAGCTCAAACAGTTTTGATCTTGGAGGATTTCAGATTTTTGGAATAGGGATCCTCAACCTGTAATACTCCTGTATACATCTTGTAACTGATAAGCAGATTTCTTTTAAATAATCACCATATTATACCTAACAAATTTAGCAGTTTTGTTACTATCATCTAATACCCAGTCTGTATTCAGATGTTCTTGATCATCTCAGAAGTGTCTTTTTACAGTTGGTTTGTTTGAATAAGGATTCAGATGAAGTCCATGCATTGCCTTTGGCTGTTAGGTATCTCTTGTAATAATCCGCTATTTATTATTTTCATTTTGTTGATTTGTTGACGAAACAGGCATTCGAGCTGTAAGCTATTCTTTAGAAGAAATTGAACTCCTTTCTAACTGCTTTCTTCTGTGTGTGTGTGTGTGTGTGTGTGTGTGTGTGTGTGTGTGTATGTGTGTATGTGTGTGTATTTAAAACAATCTATCTTTATCCTTGGTGGTAACCAACCTTTACAACTGAAATAAATAGTAAATAGTTTCTTGCCATCCGTTCACCCACATCACTGTTGTTTCATACCTCCTTTTCACAAATCCTAGCATAGGGTCTCTCACCGGATAGGCATTATCTTGTTTATTGAATGAAGAAAGAAACAGACGCAAGGTGATTTGTCCATGTAGGTGGGATTTAGTTATATGGGAATATTTATGGAAGGCAGGCTATTACTTTGTTTCTCTTTAGTTTGGATCTTTTTTGTCTCATAGGGAGATGAAAGATAAATGTGTGTTTATCTTATTTCCATCTACTAGAAAATAAACTCCCAAAGGGTAGGGTTCTTTCTGTTGCCTTTGCCCTCTGATGTTTCTCAAAGACCTAGAATAGTGCTTGGCACAGAGTAGGTGCCCAGTAAATGTGTTGAATTGGGTGATCCAACAAAAATAAATGCCATAATGAAAATATCCCGGCTGGGCATGGTGGCTTAGGCATGTAACCCTAGTGCTTTGGAAGGCCAATACAGGAGGATCACTTGAGCTCAGGAGTTTGAGACTAGCCTGGGCAACATAGTGAGATCTTGTCTCTACAAAAAAATTTAAAAAGAAAAATTATCCAGGGGTAGTGTTGTATGCCTGTAGTCACAGCTACTTGAGAGGCTGAGACAAGAGGATTGCTTGAGCCTAGGAGTTCCAGGTTACAGTGAGCTATGATTGTACTACTGCACTCTAGCCTCGGCAACAGAGGGAGACTTTGTGTTGAAAAGACAGAGAAAAAAAATGTCCCAGCAACTGAGCATAGGGTATGACTTCAGGAATATCTATTTTTGTTCAGTATATATTTATTTAGTATACAGTCTGATCCCTGCTCTAAGGTTAGGATAATTCTGAGTGTCTCCAGGATCCCACAGTTAGCAATCGTGCTTAGACACAATTAGCAACCTTGATGCTCTGAATTGTGTGTGTGTGTGTGTGTGTGTGTGTGTGTGTGTGTGTGTGTGTGTGTTGGGGAGTGTGCAAAATAGATTTGGAACCCATAGTTTCCTTAGATAAGAGTAGGTCTTCTGAGCCCTACTTAAACAAAGAATATGGATTTAAATCTGTTGTCCGTCAGCTTCTAGGTGGAATTAAAAAAAAAAATGTACTGATGGTAATTGGGGTGAGGAATTTTTAAAAAGAGGTACTGATGTCTGGAGCCATACCTTAAAAGGATTTCTTAGAAATGGATTGAGTTTTTGGGTTGGAGAAACATAGAGCAAAGTTAGGCAGTACTTTTGTCACTTTGAGACTTTCTTTGTTCCTGTGCCTTGAAATAGAAACTCAGGTTCTATGTAATATCACTTCTCTAGTCCATTGTTTTTTAAGTGATGATTCTTGCTTTCTCTTCTAGAGCTAAAGTTGCAGACAAGATCCAGTTGATCAATAATATGCTGGACAAAGTCAACGAGATGATTATTGGTGGCGGAATGGCTTTTACCTTCCTTAAGGTGCTCAACAACATGGAGGTAGGAAACCAATGCCAAGTGGATGTGAAATAGCTCTCCATGATAATAGTAGGTTATATAAATGTAAAAAGAAAACAGTCTTTTAACATGAGCCCTGTAAACTCCCATTTTTATTTATTTTGGCAAGTCTTTTGTCTTTGCATTGTTCCTTTATACTGTATTGTGTCTGGTTCCTGTCTGCTTTGTGAGGCAGTCTTGTTCTTAGTATAGATGCTGACCTCCATCATTTTGGCTCCCCTATGTAGATTGGCACTTCTCTGTTTGATGAAGAGGGAGCCAAGATTGTCAAAGACCTAATGTCCAAAGCTGAGAAGAATGGTGTGAAGATTACCTTGCCTGTTGACTTTGTCACTGCTGACAAGTTTGATGAGAATGCCAAGACTGGCCAAGCCACTGTGGCTTCTGGCATACCTGCTGGCTGGATGGTGAGTCACTTGAGTGGGTTGGTAGTGTGAGTGAATAGAAACTTTGTGGTATCAATCATTCATTGATTCAGCCAATCAACAAGCATTTTAAAACAATCTCTATCAATCTCTATAGGAGATCTCTGCCAGAGAGGGCTCTGAATGTTGCAGTGAGTCCCTCATTATGGAAGAATCCGTGGGAGAAAAGCAGTGCTATTGGATTACTGGCCTTCAGTAATGTGTTGCAAAACCTTTTTTTTTTTTTTTTTTTTTTTGAGTCGGAGTCTCACTGTGTCACCAGGCTGGAGTGCAATGGCACGATCTCAGCTCACTGCAACCTCTGCCTCCCAGGTTCAAGCAATTCTCCTGCCTCACCCTCCCCAGTAGCTGGGAGGTGTGCACCACCATGCCCAGCTAATTTTTGTATTTTTCGTAGAGACGGGGTTCCACCATGTTGGTCAGGATGATCTTGATCTCTTGATCTCATGATCCACCCGCTTCAGCCTCCCAAAGTGCTGGGATTACAGGCGTGAGCCACTGTGCCTGGCCCATTTTTAGTTTTATCTGTTTTTTCTTCATCTGTTTAATGTGTATTAAGTACTTACTATGTGCTGGAGATAGTGTCATGTACTTTCAAGGTTTGGGTTGTTTTGGATTGTGTTGCTATCTAGAAAGCTATATAAGAAAACTTTCTCATATGAAAAAATTAATAAGTATACTGATTACAATCAGGGAGAAATGTAAGTGTATATTAAAGACTAATATAGTTGATTTTAGGGTGCTCCAAATATTTTGATTGCTGTGTAAAATTATATCATGTTTTTACCATGCTAGTTTGCTTATTTTTCTTTTGTCAGGCATTCATGTATTATTTAGTTCAGTGTTTCTCAAAGTGTGTTCCTAAGACCAGCAGTATCAGTATCATTTTTGGAACTTGTTAAAAATGCAAGTTCTTGGGCCCCACCCCAGACCTACTGAATCAGGAACTGGGGGTGGGTCCCAACAGTCTGTGTTTGAATAAGCCCTCCTGGTGATTCTCATGCGTAGCAAAGTTTGAGTACTACTGATCTAGTTCACTGTCATTCTCAACACTATTGACATCTGTTTTTTTGTGGGGGACTGTTGAATTGTAAGGTTGTTGAAAGCATCCTTGGCCACTAGATGCCAGTAGCACCCTCCCAAGTTGCAACAACAACACTATCTCTCGACATTGCCACATGCCTATCTATTGTGAAGGGGCAGAACTGACCCTGGTTGAGAACCATTGATCTAGTCTTCACTAACATAAATAGTGTGGCTAAGAATGTCTTTATTAAATAACTTTTGAGGTTTTCCTTTAGTCTTGATCTTCCATACAGCAGAATTTTTTAGTACAAAGGGCATGAACAGGTTTATAATTTTAAAGACTGAAGGGTACCATTTGGTTCTAGAAGAAACTTTGATGTGCAGCCCTGAGTTCTGTTCTTGGTGGAGGTGGTGTTTAAGTAGCTTTTCTTGATAGCTCATCTTCTCTCACCTCTACCCCTCAGGGTTTGGACTGTGGTCCTGAAAGCAGCAAGAAGTATGCTGAGGCTGTCACTCGGGCTAAGCAGATTGTGTGGAATGGTCCTGTGGGGGTATTTGAATGGGAAGCTTTTGCCCAGGGAACCAAAGCCCTCATGGATGAGGTGGTGAAAGCCACTTCTAGGGGCTGCATCACCATCATAGGTAAGTGGTACTATACAAAGCTACTACCAGTCTAAGCTGGCAGAATTCTGATCAGAGGAAGGTGGAATGGAGAACTTCTGTGTCTCTTTATTCTGGATAAATCTTAAGAACTAAACAGGTAGATAATTTACAGAGAAGCCTCTTGGTAAGATAGAGTTGGGGTTTATCAGCTACCTTTTGGATTGGAGAGCACACTGCCTTACAGTTTTGGTGCCAATCCGTTTTTTTTCTTTTCTTTTCTCTCTCTTCCCTTTTTACCTGGCTTTCATTCAACAGGTGGTGGAGACACTGCCACTTGCTGTGCCAAATGGAACACGGAGGATAAAGTCAGCCATGTGAGCACTGGGGGTGGTGCCAGTTTGGAGCTCCTGGAAGGTGAGGTTCTTCTGTTTTTTGACTTGTTTGGGAGAAGGGCGGGACTGTGTAGTGAGAGGTGGGTAGAATGGAGTGGAGAAAGTTAGTAGGTAGTGTTGTCATTAGCAGTCATTACTAGCTGGGCAGTACAGAGGAACTTCAGATAAAGCTTCTGGCATCCGCTGAGGCGGGGAGGGACAGATAGAAATTTGTTCTGAGAGTTATGGTCTAGTAGACCTGGAATCCAAAATGTAAAAGTTGGCCAACTCCTGGCCATATATCCTAAAAAAGAGCTGGCATGTTATTGGGAGGATAAAGTGGGGGAGATCTGGCTTACTGGGCACTATAGTAATGTTGTCTATGTATGTGTGCTCTCTCAAAAACAGGTAAAGTCCTTCCTGGGGTGGATGCTCTCAGCAATATTTAGTACTTTCCTGCCTTTTAGTTCCTGTGCACAGCCCCTAAGTCAACTTAGCATTTTCTGCAACTCCACTTGGCATTAGCTAAAACCTTCCATGTCAAGGTTCAGCTAGTGGCCAAGAGATGCAGTGCCAGGAACCCTTAAACAGTTGCACAGCATCTCAGCTCATCTTTACTGCACCCTGGATTTGCCTACATTCTTCAAGATCCCATTTGAATTTCTTAGTGACTAAACATTGTGCATTCTAGAGTGCATATATTTATATTTTGCCTGTTAAAACCAAGTGAGCTGTGTTAGCTTAGTTCTCTTTTGATGTAGGCTATTATGATTAGCTTTGTCACTGTTTCACTACTCAGCATGGAAACAAGATGAAATTCCATTTGTAGGTAGGGAGACAAAATTGATAATCCATTAAATAAACAATAAAAGTGTCCACTGATACCGTGATTTATTTTTTCCTGTCATACTTTGTTAGGAAGGGTGAGAATAGAAACTTGAGGAACGGATCAGATATCTACATTGCTGAATGCGAGAAGTGGGGCAGCAGCAGTGGAGAGATGGGACAATTAGATAAATGTCTTTTCTTTATCAAGGTCCTACTTTATGGCAGACATTATGCTAGTGCTTTTATTCCAACTTTTATGTCTATCAGTTACACATGATCATAATTTAAAAAGTCAAGGCTTGTAACAAAAAAGCCCCAGCCCATTCCTCCCATTCAAGATTCCCACTCCCCAGAGGTGACCACTTTCAACTCTTGAGTTTTTCAGGTATATACCTCCATGTTTCTAAGTAATATGCTTATATTGTTCACTTATTTTTTTAAATTTTTTAAAGAAATCTATCTTTCATACCATGGAGGAAGGCTCTGTTTCACATATATTTCTATTTCTTCATTCTCAGTATAGTTTTGTCACAATTATAGATTAGATCAAAAGTCTTCATACCTAATACTCACAGCTGAGCTATGCAGTATGCATGATTGAATTTACTTATGTAACTTTTATTGTCTTTGGCATTAACAGTGTTTAAAAAAATTTTCTTTTTCTGTGTATACCCATCAGTGATTCATTCCCAAATCTTCCAGAAGCGTGTCTCAATATATTAAAACATATTGAATAATCCTTGTTAGAGTTATCCCTGCAGGAGTCCTTGGTGCTCCTTTTCCAATTTGTACTTGATGCCCTCTAAGTAAGCTGTACAGCTAGCTATTGCTCTGGGATTTCCTGTAACCTTCTTGGGGATTCCTTTTACCTCCTGTGTTAGACTCCTGTTTTCTGGATTCCCCCTTTTCCCTCTTTCTTGGTCTACTTTTTGTAGAACACAAGACTCTACTAGCTTCCTGAGAAAGGGTGCCTGGGAGGCAAGATCTCTGAGACTTTGTAAGTCTGAAAATATCTTTATTCGACCCGTATGCTTGATTCCTAGTTTGGCTATATATAGAATTTTAGCTTGAGTATCACTTTTTGAGACTCGAAGCCACTGTTTCATTGTCACTGTTGAGAATCTAATGGCCATTCGGATTCTTTCATCATATTTATAATTTTACCTTCCTATCTCTTTCCTGTCCTTTTAATGGAGTTTTGGGAGAGAGCAAAGGTAAACGTGATTTGAAAAAGCCATGTCTGACCAGAAATTCTGTGCTGGCAAGATATGTATTTCACCTTTAGGGACAAAGAAATAGTTAAACTTTTGGACAGGACCACAGAGCTACTGAGTAACGGCAGGGATTCAAGTCCAGGTTTTTCTGGTTCCAGTGGCTGTTGCTTTTCCAATGTGCCTCCCTCCCTGACATGATGCTTCTAGACTATAGATGCTTCTAGACTATTTTGTTTAACCCTAGATAGAATAGCAGAAGAAAATTTTGGTGGTTGCTCTGAACAAAACAAATTTGAAAGCTCAAGTTTTTTCTTCATTTGTATTTTAGTTAATACTGTACCCATATTTGTAGTTAATTTTAAATTGCACCATGTTTCTGCATACCTCTAAGGGTACTCAGGAATTCTAGTCCAATTTTTTTGACTTTTTTTCCTACCGATTACCTTTCCTCCAACATTTAAAAAATTATTTCAAATGGAACTGAAAGAAGCATAAACTCCCATAAACCCAGCAGCTAGACTCTACAGTTGCCAACATTATCTATCCAACAATCTCCGACTGTACCTTTTAAGTACTTTCTACTGGACTGTTTCCAGGATCACCCCCCATTTATTTGGGTTGTTAACCTAAAGAACGAATGGGGGAAACTCCAGTCGTAAACAACTTGTCAGGCAAATAAATTTGAGTTCCTGCTATGTGCTTAAAGACGTGATAGAGGGAATATAAGATAGCATTTATGTTCCGAAGGAATTTTTTTTTTTTTTTTTTTTGAGACGGAGTCTCGCTCTGTACCCCAGGCTGGAGTGCAGTGGCCGGATCTCAGCTCACTGCAAGCTCCGCCTCCCGGGTTCACGCCATTCTCCGGCCTCAGCCTCCCGAGTAGCTGGGACTACAGGCGCTGCCACCTCGCCCGGCTAGTTTTTGTATTTCTTAGTAGAGACGGGGTTTCACCGTGTTAGCCAGGATGGTCTCGATCTCCTGACCTCGTGATCCGCCCATCTCGGCCTCCTAAAGTGCTGGGATTACAGGCTTGAGCCACCGCGCCCGGCCTGGAATTTTTAACCTAGCCAAAGAAGATAGTAGATAACTTATGTGCATATAAGCTAGAACAGCATAAGGGGCGGGGCATGGTGGCTTATGCCTGTAATCCCAGGACTTTGGGAGGCCGAGACGGGCAGATCACCTGAGGTCAGGAGTTTGGGACCAGTCTGGCTAACATGGTGAAAACCCGTTTCTACCAAAAAGACAAAAATTAGCCGGGCGTGGTGGCGGGTGCCTGTAGTCCCAGCTATTGGGAAGGCTGAGGCAGGAGAATCACTTGAACCCGGGAGGTGGAGGTTGCAGTAAGCCGAGATCACACTACTGCACTCCTGCCTGGGTGACAGAGCGAGACTGCCTCATAACAAAAACCCCACAAAACAGTGTAAGGATGTGCTTTCTAATTTGGAATTATGAATTATTGGTAAAATATTGCAAAGGTATATGCTTTTAAGTTGTAAATTCACCTTTAACCCTAGACTATATATATGTATGTGTTTATATGCAGAAAAAAAAAAATAATCCCCATGTCGTAAGTGAACAAATTGGTTCTTTAGCTCAGCGTTTTCCTGTTTTCTTCTTCATTTCCAAAATTTCCCTCAAGCACAGGGGTTTACACATGATCAAAAAGGAGTATACAATGAAGACACCTTGCTCATTCCCCTACCTACCAGTTTCCCTCCCCAGAAGCAACCTCTGGAAGACCAGTTTCCTTTAATCTAAGGCTACTTAATATACATAAAGAGGCTGGGCGCGGTAGCTTACGCCTGTAATCCCAACACTTTGGGAGGCCGAGGTGGGTGGGTCACGAGGTCAGGAGATCGAGACCATCCTGGCTAACATGGTGAAACCCCGTCTCTAAAAATACAAAAAATTAGCCGGGCGTGATGGTGGGCGCCTGTAGTGGCAGCTACTCGGGAGACTGAGGCAGGAGAATGATGTGAACCCGGGAGGCGGAGATTGCAGTGAGCCGAGATGGGCCACTGCACTCCAGCCTGGGCGACTGAGTGAGGCTGCATAAAGAGCATACCATGTGTGTATATCTGTATATAAATATATTAAAATGTAAATGGTGGCATACCTGCTCTTCTGTAGTTCTGATTAGTGTTTTCTTTCCTGCCTCTTGAGTATTCCCTGTCACCTTGGATCCCTTAGACCATAGTGTGCATCATATCTTTCATTCTCCCCCTGCCCCATGCTGGCTATATTCCTATATTCATACTTAGATTATAGACACTTGTTTGCTACCCATAAAAGGAAGAACTAGAGGTAACAGTGTCCTCACCCCATTTACCATCAGCACATATTTTTAAAAAATTCCACCTAGAAGCTGAAGGACAACTGATTTAAACGCATATTTTACTCATTTTCAATTTGCTTCACTATGATGTGTCACATGCTGATTCCAGATAAAAGCAAGTGATTTTCTGATATATAATTAACTGTTAAACAAGTCTTAATGGCTTTTGGCCATCAGAATTACTGGGCTTTGTTATCTCCCTTGAATCCTTTAAGTAAAAAATGAAAGAGCACTGATAAGCTCAAATTTTTATTAATAACCTTGGAACAAATACAATAATTCCTTATAATCATACAGTATTTTACAATTTTGAAAGAATTTTCACATATACCAATTGAACCCTCACAACAGCCCTGTGAGGTAGGCAGGGTAGGTGTTACTTTCCTACTACTAGTGAGGAGAACAAGGCTAAGAGGTGAAGTAAGGTCACACAGTTGGTAAATGATGGAACTAGGACTAGAACCTAGGCCTCCTGACTTGCTGCCTCCCTGAGAACATTCAAGTAATAATATCCTATGCTATATAATGAATATTTATCTCCTATGATGTTGATCAGGTCTGTTTTTATACATTTTACCTGTTTTTATATTACCTTTCCCTAATATCGAAAACACTAAAACTGATGAGACATTTCTTCTCTGTTATTGGACTTTTTCTTAGATATATCAAGCATTATCCTAAGATGAAATTCTGTTTTGAGGATCCTTGGCTATAAATTCTAAATTATGATACGAACACATTTATTTTACAAAATTCTACAAAAGTACATTGAACTTAAGAAAAACAAAACAGGTGTGTTTATATTTGCAAAAGCTTTGCCATCTTTCTGTGTAAATGGAAAACAGGGTAAAGTGTTCAGCAACATTACAGTATTATTGGGAAACCTATGCAGAGTGCACATAAATCCAAGTCACATCACACTAATTTCTTTTCCTTGTGGGCCTTATAGAGGATGGAGAACCATCAGCGTCTTACTTTCAGGTTTGATCCCGTCTTATATGTGACATCCTCATGTCAACAAGCTAAAAAACCGATCTGAATTATACCAATGGGGGGCTCAAGCAGCAGTGATCAAAACATAATATGTATGTGGTAAAAAGGAACACTTGTTCTTCAGTGGTTTTGCCTAGGTCCAGTGTAATTACTTATCAAAACATGTTTTAAGCTACAGCATCTCTTGTTAAATTTAGAAATGTGAAACATGTAGTTATCAACTTGGAATACAAGACTAAAACTGAATGTAACCCAAAACTACCTGTCAAGCACAGTAAAGCTTAACAGGCATAAAAACTAAGGTGTAAAACCCAACTGCTCTGATAAGAAGAGTGAAAACCAGCAAATGCAAACCATCAGGTTAAAGTGAATCACAAAACATTAGGCATGTAGAGCATATTTTAAAAATAGGAAAATGACACTGAGCTGTATTACCAGGAATTATATTTTTAAAATTCCAGGTATGGCCTTTTACATTTAACAGCAATGGAGAGAAACAAGCCTATGGG